ATACAATACATAATAGAGATCATTCTAAAAATTGAATATAAGACATAAATTAAATGTAAAATTCAATTCTTGTATTAAATATAATATCATGGAAAGGTAATTAATTTTATACATGGTAGAGTAAGAAGACTAAATTCAAATATCAATAATAATAATAAAAAAAATTCTTCATAGATTCGTGCCTAGGCTGGGTCAGTCCTTTATATCCAACAACCAGTTTAGGTGCTTTGAAAATGTGCAACAGAAAATGCAAAAATTATTAGTACTGGTTTATATTGATGTAGGTACGTGTTATATAACTAAATATAAAAATGCAAACACATACTTAAAATTATATGATTCCTAAAACAAAAAATTATATGATTCCTAAAACTTATTTGATGGTGGGAATGGATGAATATGAAAATATTAAATAATGCAGTTAAACTTTTTTAAACAGAAGCTCAAGGGACCAGACTTTTTGCCTGTCTCTGTAGGTCAGTCAGTAGTTGGTGGGGGTTCGTCAGTCCTTGATGGTCGATGTGGATTGCTCCGATTTGCGGTCTTTTTGTTGGTTGGCGTTGGGTCTCAGTCGTGGTTGGCTCTTGGTCTGTGGTTGTCTGGTCCATTGTTTGTGGGGCGTTCGTGGTCAGCGGTGCATACCGGTTGTCTACTGTAACTGCTGGTGGGTCTTTAGTTACAGGGGTCTTGCAGGCGTGTCTCTTGTCGGGCTTTCGGAATCCGTCGTTGTCAGTGATGGGTTGGTTTGATGTTGGGAGTAATTGGGAGGGGTTGGGGTTGTGGAGAGCTAGGAACGAGTTGGGTGGGAGTCCTGCGGGATGGTGGGGGATTGTCACACCGCCGGCACCACTCACCGCCTTGCTGAGATCTGCCTTCTTGGCCGACGTGGGCGAGTTGTCTCTACTGGTCTTCCTGGTGGAACTGGAAGCTCGTTTGTGTTTTTTGGGCCGCAGCCCGGCGTCGTGTTGGAGCGACATCCAGATGGTGTTGGGTTGTCCGGTGCCGTCCATTTCTTCTTCGCTTCCCGCTTGTGAACTCATTCCTTCTGAGTCCATTGCTCTCGAAGAGCAATGGCCCCTAGGCTGCTGTTCACTTTCTGCTCCTTCGGGAATCTAGCAGTTGTTGCACAAGTAGGATAAACCTTGGCTGCGATGCTCGTCTAGAGAAAACGTTCGAATTTCGTCATGCTCTTCGATGCGTCTTCCTCCAACACGGCACTGCTAGTGAACACGTTACACACGTTGCTAAATTATTGATATTATTGTGTTATTTTTCCATATATCACATGTTTGCACACCATTCATAATTTAATGGTTCAATTTGGTATTTTCCTTGCTAAAATTCATATATGTTAAATAAATATTGATTGTTACTTTAAAGTTCGATATCTAATTTTTCTCCACCGTAGTAATCTCATTAACAAGGAAAACCCCTTGACCCGTTTCCTGCATGCTGATTTCTCAGTTATTCACTCTTCGGTAAAATCCAAGTGCCATCTATTGAGAAGTTCAATGTTACTTCGTGCATTGCCAGAAGATGGCCAGTGCAGTTTATTATTGCCATTTCTTGGCGGGCGACCGTATTTCATTAATATTTATTTATTTTCCTCTCTCCACTTTTTACAACTACTGTAACATAATGTATGTCAACTATTGTATAATACGGTGCGAACTACTGTGGACACGTGAAATTTCCGACTTTTGCATATTTTTCCTTACTCAATTCTATCGATTTTTTAGTTTTATATATATTTCTTGACAAGTTATAAGATTTTGAAGAGAATGATGCAAATTATATTTGTGAAGACAGATTTTGAGAACAGTTTTGAAGATTGTTAGACATGTTGAAATACTCGAGTCAATATTAAGGGTGCCAACTAAGGTGCTCTTGTGGCTCAGTGGCGAAATCGCTTGCCTTTTTCCACTGAGATTCCAGGTTTGATTCCCGAAGAGTCCCCGTAGAACCTCATGTGAAATTTGTTACGACAAAACGAGTTTGCCTACTCTATAGGTCCAACCACTGTGGAGTGTCCTAAACCTTAGCCCTATCCTTTTTCCGTCCCAATTCTGGGTAGTGACGCGTACGCGGAGATGCTACCTGGCGGTCCTCTTGACAACAGACTACGACGAGAGGTATTAGTAAAGGAGGATCACTCGTGATAATAATAAGCGCACTAAATTAATGGAGGATTACGACCCCCAAAGAGCTTAAAGACGCGTTGCGTCTATGTACACGCCACAAACTAAATGGATGCATTTCTCGTGGCACGCTTTGGGGTGTTTAGTTCATGCCCACTGTTGGTACGTGACATAGCCAAAGCCCTCCTCTCCCCGCAAACCGCTGCGGAATATCAAGAAAACGTGCGCGTATAGTAAGTCAACATTGCACTCATTTCTGTTGAAAGATCGCCTTTCGACGCTATTGGCTGGCGAGAAGGTCGATAATGGTTGCTGCTACCGGAGTTGGCTCCCTATCAATGAAAATAAGGGCCTCTGAAGGAGACCAAGGTTTGTAATCAATAAATTAAGTATAGATTGTAAAATATGACTTCCAAATCTCTTTCCTTCTAACAAACTAAGTATATAAATTTGGTAGGCATGGAATTTAAAAATGGAATGAGGTATCATATTTCATCATAAGAATAATCTGACACGAAGCATGAATGATACCTCTAATCTTATGGCAAATGATTTAGAAATCAGTGCCGGAACAAACAATATTGAACCAAGCATTATTATTATTATTATTATCATTATTATTATTATTATTATTATTATTATTATTATTATTATTATTATTATTATTATTATTATTGTAGTTGATAAAAGAAAGAGAGGCAAACAATAGCCTTTAGAATCTTCTTACTAATCAAACATATCTTCTTCACACCAGATGTCAAACTTAACCAAGCTTCTTCAAATGATCGGAGTTTGAGACTGTTAATTGTGAATTGTGGTAACCGTCTCTTCGGCTATTGAACTGTGATAAAATAATGAGTATATACTGTCTGCATTTGATAGTATATTGATGTAAAGTAGTAATAATATCAATGCATTTAATTTAAATATTGTTTTCACCAAGAAAATATTAGCAAAATGGTTGAGAATGCTGATTTTTAGTTTTTGATTGAAAAATGACAAAAATATTGTTTACTATTTTTATTTTCTGTATTTGTTCGAATGATGTTACATGCTACTGTAAGAAAGTAGAACAAACACACTTTCTAAAAGTACTTTAATTTCTTTCTCTAAGTAATATGTCTCTGCAGACCGAATTACTGTTGGGATAATTGATCCGCCTGTCTCTTTGGAACCAGAAGGATAGGATAGGTTCTTTTACCTTGGGACTCGGATAGGTCCTAAAGATAGTACAGCCAAAATATATTATTTTTTTCAAGAAATTAATTATTAGTAGGACTTATTTAGCATTTGACTTGTTGCCTATGTAATGTTAGTGTCTAATACAGGTGCGCCAGAGAAACTTATTTGAAAAAATTCCCGCGCGGTGAGTTGGGCGGTTAGAGGGGCG